CAAGCTTACTGTTTCTGCATCTGCTCACAAAATCCTGGAAGCAAAACCCCAAACTAACTCACATTAACTACACCTTTTGCTTGTGTATTAGATCACAACACTTTGTGTAGATATTGAATCCTACAGAGAACTTTCTTGATAAGTGCTCTACCAAAAGTCTCTGCGCATTGATGACTTCTTTGAAAAAGTACCTGGAAATAACTACCTGCTACAAAAGTTTCATCCCAACTAAATTGAGGTACCTTTCTGTAGCCTTGAGCCAGGGCTAATTCCACCCCACCCCCTCCAAACTCTCCTGTAATCACTGTTTCCTCTTAGCATTGGCAGGCACTCCCAGCATCAATAAAGCATGTCATATCCCAGCACCCTACAGTGAGCCTCATCACCTCACAGAAGGCATCACATTCTCTTCCAAGAGCCAAGAATGTGACAGTTAGGCCATGCTCCACGTAAACCATAAGATCTTGTTGAAATTAACCCTTCTTGTCTCATACTCTTATAACAGGCTCCAGGTTACAGTTCCCATTTCCAACAGAGATTTCTTCAGAAGCATTCTTGGGGGGGAAAAATGTAACTTGTATGTGTTAGTGATGTGCACAAACGAGAGTAGAAAAAACCAAACCCAACAACTTTTGAAGCTGTGGGGTTTGATCCTCTTTGTTTCACTTTTGTAGGGTTTATTTCGGGGATGTTAAATTAAGGATATGGTCATTGGGTGGCTATAACATGCCCAACATGCAATGAAAAGTTTTATTTTTCAAAAATGTATTTTTATAGCAGAGTTGCCAACCTTTTATATCATCTGGCTGGCCTGGGTTATGCTTTCCCATGCACACACAAATACTGGTGCAGGTACAGGCATAAGACCAGAGTGAGATCTGTAGGCTCATCCTCCCTTGGACGAGATTAAGCTCTGTAGCTGTCACACCTGAACTGAACCACTACAGTTCGTGAAGCTGTTCTCAGAAAGTTTTGATCCAGCAGAGGATGGACTCAGTGTTTGGTACCTTCTGAGCTTAGACATGGGGCTTGGGTGGCAGACTTGGAGACCTTCAGTTGCCATGACTGATTACAGTCAGTGAGACTGCAAAAGCACTTTACAGTTGATTAATGGCCTTCCAAGCACTCAGCATTTTCAACAGTGACATAATTATTTTTTTTAATGGATGTTTATAGTGATTACTGTTATGCTGCAGGGTTTTTATTAATCATTAGGAAGCTGGCTATCTAGGCAACTGGAATTAAATAATTTGTCTGAGAATTCATTATAATTAAGGGGGCAGGCAATTAATGACTAATTAAATCCATTGAGATACTGTGGGAAAGGGGTGTTAATATTGTTGCTCAGCTGTGGTGGAAAATGGACAAATACAGTGTTTGATGTGTTCGATGTTAATTTGGAAAAGATGACAACTTTGTAACATAATAGGTTACTTAAGCACATCAGTAGTGAACTTACTAGAGCTATTCACTTGCCCATGCACAAAAAGCTGAAAGAAGCCTTTAGATTCTTTCCCTTTCCCTAGCCTGTGTTAATTATGACTGAGGACTTTGAAAGGTTGCAGATTCCTCTGAGTTACGAAAAGCATCCAGAAGACGGATTGACTTGCCTAGTTGATTGGTAAGTCTCTGGAGTGTGTGCTGGCTGAAACATGATGTTATGTAGGCTAACTCACACATCAGAAAAAATGGGAAATTTAATAGCACAATATTGGGATTATTTGTGGTACTGGAGCAGGACACATTGTGGAAATCAGACCCAGATAACTAGTAATACTCTCTCAGAAATTTTTACAATATTGTTTTACCTAGGATATAGAATTGTCACCATAATCTCCTTTTCTTGCCTAGTTCTAGTTTCTTGCTTTTCAGAAAACAAATGCTTCACCTGTCATTGTTGCTAAGTCTCATATAGTATGGGTGACTGTTCTTTTGGCTATTATCCATTAGATTGTCCAGTATTGTATCCCAGTTCATCGTGAGCAGTGTGTACATTGACAGTAACAGAAAAGCCAGGAATGAATCTGAGGAGACTTAGACCTGCTCTTGCCTACAGTCAGTTCCTGCTGGTGAGAGAGGAATTTTGAAGTTCAGGGAACAGGATTTGACTTTTTGGCAATAGGTTCCTTGATCACTAGATCCTGACAGAGGAAGATACTCAGCCTACCCCACCCTGGGTTCAGGGCTGGACAGAAACAGCTTGGCATCTTTCAATGAGCTGTGCAACCTTAGAGATTTCCTATTATCAAGCCCCTCCTTCCTTTCACAGCACATTTGGCCACATCACATAGTGGGGTAGGAGGCCAGGAAATCGTCTCTGAATGGAAAAATCTAGCTGCCATTTCTATTAACTCATCCAGCAGAATAACCTTCTCAGTGATTGTTAAAGCAGCTGTATCTTTTTATCTGATGAACTGGCATCTGTGGGTAGACAGAGAGGTTTTTTAATGTATTTTTTAAAAAAACATTGGTTTTAATAATAACACTATTTGCAGAGACACATGTGAAAAAACACATTCACAGCATGGATCTGGCCAGACTAGTCAGACACCAGAGCTTTCCTTTACAATAGATCTGCATCAGGTTGAAGCAGAGCTCAGTGCAAACCTGGTGGAAAAACAACTCCTGGTGTGATGGCCTTAGCTGGACAGGTCACAACCATAGCTTTAACATCAGCTCTGCTGTGACTAGATGCTTGGGCTTTGTATGTGGTTTTGAACTACCTGAGCCTTCATGAGATCACCAAGAGTCCCTACTGGGACTTGGTTTTTTAACTCAGGATGCAGTGTTACCCGGTCCATAACATGTGGAAGGTTCTGTCTTAATTCAGAGTTGGTTGTTTTCCTAGTAATGCTATATTCTCATCTTATGTTCTGGACTACTGACTACTGACTAGACCACACATGATCTTATCAATATGATAAGATCCAGCCCCTGAGGCCTGGCTTCAAAGTCAGTGAATTTAAGTATATTCAGCTACAAAGCATCAGTTCAAGTATTTTTAATGCTGAATTTAAAAACAATACCCTGTTTGAGGTACTTACTAGGAAAGGCCAGCATGTGTAGGCTGGCTGGCAATAAGAGAGAATGCTGCAATCCCTTACCTTCACACACAGGAAAAAAAGGAAAGGAAGGTCAGATAAGGACAGATAGTATTATTATAAGGAAGGAAACTTTGCAATCTCCTAGTCTGCAACTTCTGCACCAAAAGAAGTCATCAGGAGCTTTCAAACCTCACAGTTAATGTGGTCTTTCTTTTGAGCTGTTTTGAGTACTTTGGCTTTCACTTTTACCCCTTTTTCCTCATCTTGTGCAATAAAAGCTCCACGCACTTCAAGACTTATTGGGATGCAGAAAAAAGACTGGAAAAGGAACTCACAGAATTAGTTTCTAAGCAGTTGTATATGAATGCCGTTTCTGCTCTCATCACAAACTGGGGTGCACTTGGATTTTTAATTGTTCGCTTATTTTCATAGAAAAACTGAGATTTATATACTTTGACCATGAAGACCTGACTAGAAGAAATGGGAAATTCAACAGTAAGAGCCCAACCTGACCCTGATGGGGCAACACACAGGGTCATCTCTCTACAGGGAATACAGAGGAGGATTAAACCTTTTAACAGGTTTGCCTGAGGACCATCCTTAGGCAAACACTGAATACTGCACTAATGCTCTCCTATCACTTGTACCTTGTAGTAATACTGAAGAAGTGGGTGCTGAAATCACACTCTGTTAGTTTCATTGAATGAAAGCTGTTGCTTTTGAACACCAGATACTGCTTTGAAGATATAGCATCTGAAGATACAGCACCTTGGCTCCTGGCAGAGGCAGGCAGAACCCCTGGGTTAGGAATGTGCCCCACGCTGCTCATCTGGAAAGCTGTACCTGTGCACAGGATCAGCCTCCCTGCCCTGTGTTGTGCCTCACCCACTGCCAGAGTTTGATTCAGACCTCCCCAAAGCCCAGGCAGCTTGAAGTGCCTGAGCTTCTCTAGCCATTGCCTGTGAAGAGGGGACATGTGTGGCAGCAGCAGGCAGGGAAAACAGCAGTGGATGGTAAGAACCTGGAAAGGGCCATGGCAGCACATTGGCCAAAGTCTCTCAGGTGCTTCAAGGTGATGGCAAAGACCCCTTTACACATCTGAGTCAGAGAAGGATTCTGTAGGAATTGGGCTTTAACCTGAAAACACTTCAGCATTGAGAGCTCTGAATGCAGGAGACTTTAAGCAATGGTTTACCCTCAAAATATTTGATGGCTGCTGTTGGGGTGATATTCTGATGCCTGGGATCTTATCACTGCAGTTTCAGATGAAAGCCTTATTCCTCACTTCCAACTCAAAGCTGGGGAAACATTTTGCTATGTACTCTTAAATAGGTGACCTATTATGTACCAGAGCTGGCTACATATGTGCCCATGTAATTTATAAACCATTTCAGGATTAAAACCATTTCTAATACAAGGAATAAAGGACCCAATTAAGTTTCATAGAGAAAATTATTTGTTCCACAACTTAAATTTATAGCTTTTTCGTCTTTTTAAGTTCAGAAGTGTTGCAAATTCTAGCACTAGGCATGTAGACATTCATGTTTTTAATGTCAAGTTGTTGGATGCAATGAAGCAGTAGGAGAATCTCATCCTTCATTTTTAAAAAGTATATTTTGGGTTAAGAAACACTATAAAAATGAAACCAACTACACCGACAAAAGCAGGGGTAAAAGGCAAGGTAAATAAACAGATACCAAACTCATTGTATGCGTAAGGGTCTGATGGCTTGATCAGGTGAAATGTTCAATTTTAGGTTGATAGCATTGGGAAATTCAGCTGAAAATGTGTATGAACTAATGCATAGAAGAAAACGTGCTATGATCTCCGTTCCATACTGAACACACTTTATTACAGTTTACGGCATATCTTTTAATTCCTAGGAAGCATTGTAATAATAATATCAGAAAAGGTGTTTTAAGTCTGCCTGCCTAATTTCCACATCCTTTTTCACAGGATTTCTATGAAGGTATCTTGAAAGTGCTTGGAGAAGATGATGAAAATGAACAGGAAGAAGTTAAACTCAGGCACAGTTTAAGTGAACTCCCCGAAATTTATGAATTACACCAAGACATCCTGGGAGAACTGGAAGAGAGAGTCCTTAAATGGTACGTACAGATGGCATGGTTTGATTGCCTTAATATACCTTTCACAGCAGACAGGTGAACTTATTGACGTTCCCTTGACCCCACCAGCAGGGAGGTTGGGATTCCAGCAGAGATGAAAGGAGTAGAACCTGAACTACTTTGGCAGATTTTGCATATAGACAGGAAGGAAGTAAATGTAGAGGCTGTCAGGCTAAGAAGTCAAATACTGAAATATTTGTTCATGGTATAGCCCATGACCTTGAAATGGCCTCATCAGTCAGTGTCAGGATAGCCTGCTTCATATGCATTCTCCTCTGCCAGTTCATAGTTATCACAAGTGGCTTCACACTCCTGGCCTGAAGGTCATAGACTCATGCTCTGGGAAGCAGGAACAGCAGGCATCAGAACTGATCCTAAAGATCATCTGCTTACAGAAGTCTACATAGCAGCTGTGCAGGTCTCAGATGAGGGACAGCCCCTCGCTCCCAGCACCAAGGCAGGGATCTGCTAGGCTGGGCTTCCAAGACAGATGCTGGCAGCCTGCTGAGGGACTCCATCTAAGCCAAACATCCTTACAGGGTGAAGTCTTTCCATGAAAGAATAAGATCATGCCTCAGACAGACAAAGCTCCAAAATTCATTCAAAGAGACCTCTGACTTAAGCCAGGCTTCCAAGCTCTATTCTACCAAACTGCTGAAATAAGAACATCCAAGAGAAATTACTTCAGCAGACCCAAGCTGACTGAACCTACTGCAGCCAGCACAGCCCCTGGCCTAGACTGAATGACTCTGGCTTTCCCAGCTTCCGATGGACCGTGCAGCCCCACACCTCCACCTTGCTGGACTCCAGGAGATGGTGGTCATTGACAATGGCTGATCCTACCTCAGCACTGCCACTGAGCAGTTAAGGAAGTCAGTTGGATGAGGAGAATTTTTCAGTAACAACCCTAAATGCAGGGCCCAGCTCTCCTTGTCAGCTCTGTACTTCCAAGTCAAAGCACAGCAAGGAAAGGCTAAAGGGAGTTGTGTATTGGTTTGTGTCCACCAAGGGGCTATTGTCAGAAAGACCATGTCATCGATGATTTATGATTTACACACTTATAACACAAACAGAAGCGGTGTTTCCAGCTGGGATCTGAAACAACTTATGTTCTAAAGAAGCCCCAGCCCTTCTCTAAGACAAAAGGGACACATCTGGAAATGCTCTAAGATTCTGTCCAAAACTACTCTGTGGCACTGTGTTTTACTCTGTAAAACAGAACTATATTGCAAATGCTGCCAATGCAAGAGAATGACCTGCACTCATACAGGTTCCCAGGTCTTCACCATGTTTGAAGCTTCCAGTAAGTCCTTCCCTATGCCTGCAGTCCCCCAGATACCCTTGTTGTTTTGGACATCCCCAGGAACTCAAGTTGCTCTATTAAGTATGATTTCTCTTTTGTGATCTCAGATTTTGTTCTGTTCTCTCCTTGTACATGGTTGGTAAAGATTTCAATATTGGGCATCTGGGTGCTGAGACAGATGGTGGTGAGGCAGTGCTGAGAAGCAGGCAGTGAAGGAGACCTGAAGATTTGGTATTACAACAGAAGATGGCATATTCTCCCGCACAAACATTGTTCAAAGCACTGCAGCAGCTGAAAGGTCTGTTTACAGGAGCAGGAGCTGTATCCTGGAAGGGGCCACCATGGACACATGGTTCTGCTGTGGCAGAGGCACAGCCAAAGGACCAGCTCCTCACAGTGCCCATTCTACAGAAGCTCGTGTTGTTGTCCAGTCTGTCATGGAAGCACTCCCTCTTTCCTGCCATTTAACCTAGTAGCTGCACAGTGTGCTGAGCTACTGTGGGTCTAGTACAGTGAGAAGGAAGTATCGCTCTGCTTATATTTATTTATTTATTTATTTATTTATTTGCTGCTTCTTTTCTTTCTGTGGACGTAGGGAGGAACACCAGAAAGTTGCTGATGTTTTTCTCTCCAGAAAATCAAGGCTGAATCACCACACAGCATACATTGTGCAGTTTGACAGGAATTTGTCTTTGCTAGATGAAATGTGCCTTAAATATTCCCAACTGGCTACTATGATGCAGGAGTTTGAGGTAAGGCTCTCATTACCTGCACTAATGAATGGCTCTGCCATGGGGAATACTGAAAATATACTTTTTTCTGCAACTCCATCAGTATTCACACATAGGGTAGACTGGAAAAACAGTCCTCTTCACAGATCCTGGTGCTAGAGCTGAAGTGAGAAGTTCACTTGTGCATGATGCGTTTCTGTTTCTGTATCTGTTGCCCATATACCCCTGTGTTTGCACACAGAATGTACGTTGGTGAATTTACAGATCTGTGAGTATATTTTGCTGAAACATAGTGGATTGGTTTCTCAGTCACTTATTAACTTATCAAGCTCTTTGAGGATGTGTTGGAGTTTATAACTGTGATGATAGTTTGGTGTTGAGCTCACATCCCCCTGCTCTTTGTGTTTTCTTTCCCCTCTATGGAGGACAGCAGAGCTCTGGAGGCAGCCCTCAGAGTGTGAAACACCAGCTTTTGAAAGTGGTGCAGCGTATCTTCCAATATCGTGTGCTGCTCACAGGTCAGTAAAATTACTCTCAAAAGTACCCAATGGAAACACAGCCAAGATGTTCTGTGCCTCCACTGTGCTACACATTGATGCCAAGACAGCTAAAATAGAGCTAAAGCAGTGTGGGATTTCCTTGGGACTTCAATTTGCTTAGTACAGGATTCAGGAAATGTCAGGGAGCCTGGGAAGAGGCAGACACTTCTTCAGGACAGCCATGTTGAAAGGTCAGAAAAAAGTGTAGTCAGGTGCTTTTAGCCATTCCATCTTGGCTTTTTCTTTCTGTGAATCAGAAGAGGCAGAGTTCAGCCTTACTGCCAGCAAACAGGCTTGATTTTTTATTATGTCAAGGGCAATTATCAGAGACAGTAGAAGATAGTTGGCCTCAGCAAGGATGCATCCTGTATGACAGTGCGAAGTACCACCTTCTTCACCAACAAAGCAGTTGTATTCAGTACTGCACCCTAAGTCCTGTGTACAGTACACCTAAGGCTGGTGATAAGTCAAAAACCCAGTCCAATTTTGCTGCATTGTAGGAGGCAGAGATACAAATTTACGTTTATAGATTTTACATTTACAGTAATAGCTTCCCTTTACATTCAGGACCATATGTACACACCAACTCCCACCTGGAGTCTCTCCAAGGGAGATTGTGTTCCTTCTCTGCAAGCCACAGCAAATAAGTCTGAGCCTGTGAGGGGAGCAGGCTTTCTGAAGCAGGACCTGGCCCTAGAGGGAATTGAGAAGTTTAGAACTGGGGTAGGAAATGATGGAATGTAACAATGAATCCCAGTGTTGTCAAGTTATTTAGTCAGAACACAAAAGAGCAAGGATTCATAGACATAAAGATGGAGAAGTGCTTTGGGAGTATGTATTTTAAGGGGTGAAGAGAGATGCAAGATGAGTTATGCATGGGACAGTAAAAAGGAAGCCATAAACCCTGCCCATACAGCCAATGAAGGGCACGAATACTAGAAGATACTCCTATAAATGCAGCAGAACAAAGTGACTGTATGACAACTTTCTTAACAGCACAGATTAACACCAGTTTCTTCTTGCTTCAGACACTTTGATCAAGGATGCAACTAATTATTCTCAGCTGGGTTTGCTTTTTTAGTACAAGCGATACACACGAACACCAGATGCCAATTAGTAGGACTTTTGTTCTCTCTGACTTGCTTCCCTCTCTGGGTGTGTCTGCATTAAGGGCAACTTCTCAGACTTGTGGCTTACAGTACTTAGCAGCCTCACATGATTTTTGCAGTGTTTGTACTGCATGCGCACAAATACTGCAACAAGTAAAAGGAATTGGCATATCCCTGTCAGAAATACCCCCACTATCCTCTCTTTTCTCTTCCTGTTTCTGTGGTCCAGAAGATAAATTGCAAGCATGCAGCATGGTATTTTGGGAGAAAGCTGGAAGGACTTCAGTGAAGCTCCAGTGATTAGATTTCATCTATGCTTGAAGCAACTTCAGGTCCTCCTTGTCCTAGGTACTGACACTAACTGGGAAAATGAAAGCTTTTGTGTGTAGTGAGATAAGGTCTGCTGGATTAAGATATTATAGAAAATAGTTTTACTACTTCTGTTCTTCACCTCAAGAAACCAAGCCACTCTTTGCCTGCTAGGACAGAGGGAGTCTGGAACAGTGCAGTCCTTCAGATCCTCAGGTGTAGTTGTGTGTTCATAACTGGCTGTTTCTACCAGATAAGGAGGGTGTTGATTAGGATATTGGTTGCCAATTGCTGCACCACAGCCAAAAGGACTTGCCCACTCAATCCGTAGCTAAGGGGAGAGCTTGCAGCAGTGAAAAAGAACACTAACTATTGCTTGATGACACTTCACAACCCCTTCCTGCCTGCCTGAGTACAGGCAGATGCTTTCCAGAATGCAAGTCAGGTAAAGTTCAGGGTGCCAGGGAGGGCACAGCACTAGAAAGAGAAGGACATTCACTGGAACAGATATCCATGCACAGCACCATTATCAGCACAGAGGTCTACTTCTTGGATGCAGAATTCAGGAGTCTGGATTCATCAGCAAGAAAATAATGAAGAATTTCCAGATTAGGCTTTTAGAGCTGTGGCACTCACAGCCTACAGTCTTTAAAAGCATAAAGATGCAGACACAGAACAGGCAGATGATCCAAGAAAAGTAGTCCAGACAGGTTAAAGGTTTGTATATAATGCAAATATAACTGCTGTAACTCTAAGCCCTGTTTTATATCTGTTTTACAGAACCTGATTTCAGAGTATGACTGAGATTGGTAGTAAATGTTTGAACCCTAGAACCAGAGTCTCCTTCCTGTGCCCATAAGAAACATATGATTCATTTACTGTATCTATAAATGTAGCCAATAGCATTTATTCAGATGGGAAAACAGAATTCATTAGAAGAACAAGTATTTGTAAAGTGGTGCTACTCGGCAGTTCTCTAGACTGCGAAATATTTTTGTCACTGCTTATTCATTTATACCTGCCAAATTATATGAGGAGTTCAAATCTGTATCAGTGGTCTTGCATTGATTCTCAAAGTAGAATGCAGTCAAAGACGAGTTTTTCTTTGGAAAGAGGCTATATACACTTAATTATTTGGCAACAAAGTAATGTGGGACATTACTGTGGATGCCCCATACCTGGAAGTGTCCGAGGCCAGGTTGGACAGTGCTTGGAGCAACCTGGGAGAGTCGAAGGTGTCCCTGCCCATGGCAGGAGGGTTGAAACAAGATGATCCTCAAGGTCCCTTCCAACCCAAACCATTCTAGGATTCTATGATTATAATTTTATGTTTTAGCTAACAACACTACAAATTATGTCAGTCTGTATTCTGATTACTGGATGTCTGTGTTTCTTTGATTATTTTCTACAGATTACTTGAATAATCTTTGTCCTGATTCTACAGAGTATGAAGCCACACAAGGTAAAATGAAATGGGTAGAAAAAAATGCTACTTGTAAAGAGGCACAAGACCCACACCAGTAGTATATGATTATTTTGAACATTTTGTGTTAACAGGTTAGATGTAAGATCTATAAGAGCTGATTACTAATTTAGACAAGTTATTTAGGACAAGAACCCTTTTTTCATTGAAATGTGGGCTTCCTATGGTTTTCGCATGATGGAACTTATGGAAGGAGAAAGTATCATCTTATAAGGCATGGTGCAGATACTGTAGTTCTGCCCAGTCATCAAGGAAATCCTAGTCCTCTTTGGCTTTGTCCATATTTGGCCTGGTCATTGTAAAGTGAACTGGGATGGCCCCACCTGCTTGTTTTTGTACCGTAATGTGCCTGCTATGCTCTGTGGACTTTGCAGAAACCCAGGAGATTTGAATCGTATATCTGTATTCTGGACTCCTTAAGCCTACATAAACTTGAAAGAGATTACATAAAACTCAGTTCCACGTAATCAAGAACAAATCCAGATGTTCAACTAACATCATCCTTTCCAACACATGAGATAGATAAAGCAGAAGCCTCTTACTCCCACTGAAGTCAAAGCAAGGTTTAGCTGTGGCCTCTGTGGGAGTAGTTTCCAGGCTAGAGTAAGCAGCAATAACAGTGTATTAATGAAACCAGTTCACTTAAGTTACACTGAGTGTAAATCCAGACCAAGTCATAGCAATAATGTCTGTGGCTGTCTGGAAGTCAGTATGTTCTAACCAAGAGTAGAGACTCATGCAAGATTTAGGACCCTAGTCACTGACAGCAGAACTACAGCTATACTAGTAATGTAAACAACACCAAGGCAGACCCTCAAGCCCTCTGGTCACAATTGCCTATCTTGTTTGTGGTTAGCACATGCTTGGTCAGCAATAGTTAGCATGCTCCCAGGTTTGATAGAAAGCCCTGTTTCACAACAGAAGGGATGTGAAATAAGAACCCAAGCCATGTTATGCCACTGCTCTCAGGGCCAGCAAATGTACCCTAGTCCAGGTTATTTGCCAGCGGAGAATCCAGGATTTAATTCACGTCACCACTTCATACACATTTCTGTCTGAAAGGGATGACGTTCTCTACCTCAGCAGTAAGAGGTACACCTTAAACTGTGCATCTCTCCCTACCACAAGCTCCAATTGCCAAAAATCTGCAACTAGAAAACACTGCAAGAAGATGTTATTCCACGCTAGGTGCTTAAAAGGGACCTCATAACCTCTCTGAGTCAGCCCAAGTATGATGTAGTTTGACAGAAGGGAATGATGAAGGGAGGAAGGGAGGACAGCACTGTGTGCATTATGAAGGTGCCAAAGAAATCAAAGGAGCTCGAGCTTTTTTTTCTTTTTTTTTTTTTTTTTTTTTTTTTTTTAAGGATGCCCTTGCAAACAGAAGGGATTTTGGCTATTCTCTTACTCTTTTATGTGATATGTGGTGTTCGTTTTGCTTAATTCCTCAGCTGCCTTATTCATCATTTCTGAAATCACGGACCGAGCCAATGACAGCATGCTCCAAGCGGTGAGTCCTACCATGGTCTCTCCTGCTCAATAGTGTTGGACATCTGCGGGAGTGAATACGTATCTCCGCTAAATTCTGAATCCTCCTCCATGGTAAAACTCAAGGGTTTATACAGATCTGGGTTACAGTATTGCAGATATGAAGTAGGTCTATGCCCTTTAGAGCAGCTGTGCAAGGTGTAATAGCCAGCAACACAATTTTGTTTCTCTTTGGGAGTTACTGAAATGCTATGCAGAGCAATAAAGGAAGGGGTGGGAATTTTCAGGGTTCTATTTCCAGACAACCAGCACTTCTTTTCTTTCTCTCAGATTTAAAAAAAAAAAAAAAAAAGGCAAATAATTACTCTAATTACAGAAGAAACTGAACAATGTCAGTCAATTTAGAGTGTTACTAACTTGTTGTGTACCTGGTTAAAGTTCTAAGCAATAATTTAGACTTGGCAGGTATCTGGAAGGAGGAAGATTGCTGCTGCCACACACCAGCTCATCAAACTACACTCTGAAAATCTGACAGGAGCATTGAATATAAACACAGAATATTAATGAATACAAATTAATATAAATGGCTCATTATTAGCTTTTTTTTGTTTTATGATAATAACACCGTAGCAGTTTTTTTTCTGGGAACTAGTAACCCAAGATTTTCAGGCACATTTTGACAATATCTCCACAGCCTTTTCATCAGGTAGGAAAATATTACTTGTAATTTACAGATGTGCAAACAGAGGCATAAGGCCCACCATCATCGAGAGCATATCTCCAGGAGATGAACTAAGCAGGGTTTGTGTTGCTCTCTGAACGCCTATGATTTGTTAGAGGCCCTGAGATGCTAGTAGCTCTAAATCATTGTTGCTATTAACAGCTGGTGAATTCCTTGGGGAGGCATTCTTCCTGCATAGACATAATGATAAAATTATGGAAGCTGCAAGTTCACTGCTAAAATGGCCAGAGAAGGATTTCAGCAACCCACATCTGCAATATTGGCTGAGTGGAGCTTTGCTTTTATTTTTTAATTGTAGCATGTGAAGGATCTTTGAAAGGAGAATGATGATAGTTCTAAGGACAATGAAGAAAAATATATAGACGGGGAATTTAGGGGAACTGTAGGGAAACTATACCCCCCCTCAGCTGCCCACATTCCCAGATAAACCACTGTCCTTCACATGTGATGGCTGTTTGACTTCCTTTAGGAAATGAGTTTGATACTTCTCTGTCCATTTCCTGGTGAACATGTGTCCATATTGCAATCATCAGCATTTCAACAGGCATCTCTGCCAGCAGTCCTGAGAAAAGCTGAGCTGCAGCAACTTCTCCTTTCACTCCTGTAGAAACAGATGAGTAGTACTAGCATTGGCACGAGTGTGTTCACAGGAGGGCACTGCCTATTCTGTGGGTGAAGATCAGGTTTGCATTGTAGAAGCTGTCAATTTGACAACTTTTTGCCAAGGCTAAAATACCCTTTAGTGATGGGAAAGTCCTTTGCAGATATCTTTTGCAAATGGCAGCTGTCCCATGATCCCTGATATTTCCTGTGCTATTCATTTATATGTTGTTTCCATTTTGTTGGCCTATAGTATTTTAAAAGTGACCTGAAAAATTCCATTTGTTGCTTCCTGCATTTCAAAAGAGATACCTGACACCTAAAATTCTTGAAATGTGTCAACTGTGAGTTATATTGAATGGGTACAGTGCAGCCCTGTGCTGGTCAAGCCTTGTAGGTGTTTGCATATATTTGATATGCAGTTACTGATTAATAACTGAACTTACTATCATGCTAAACAAGTGTAATATTTCATCAGGGCAGTAACATATGGAGGCATTTCAGGCTTATATTAAAAGCAAGATGAGATAGGTACATTAATTGTGTTAGCTGAAATCCACGTAAATTAGCCTTGATATATCATCATGTTGATATGGATATGCTCCTTCTGGTATCTGTGATAGCTTTCTTAATTAGCTGATTCTGTAGACAGCACTGATTTGTATCAGACAGATACACTGTATGATCTAATCAAGTCTAACTAATCCCAGTGGTATCTTAATGCCAGTCAATGGAGCAAAGGAAAACAGATCACCTGTCATAGCAGAAAACTGTACTCAAAGGCTGTCAGGTCACGAAGCTGTGTCAAACATGATCCTTAGTCTGTAGTGTATCTGGGTGCATAACAGGTTTGGGATACAATGGCTAACTTAGAGAGGAGACTTCTAACTTTTAGGCATATTCCAGCAATGACTCATTGCTGCTGGGCAGCCCATTCTAGTGTTCTGATCAGATAAAAAACACAGCTGAATGTTATGCACAAGCCTGTTTTAACAGCCTCACCTGCAAAATGGAGGAGATTTGAAAAGACTTGCAATATTGCAAAAGTACAGATATGCCTTCTTCTTTTATCTTATATATTCACCTGATAGCTTGTTTTGTTTTTTAATGAGAGCACAGGCTTACCTAGATTAATCTTATTTACAGTCCTCATAGATAAGTTTGTGCCTTCTTCTAGTGCCCACTGAATGGCTGTGCTTTAAGGCCAGGTAGACAGTTAATAGTATCAGAGTTTGATCATACTTCATGATTTTTGCAAAGCATCAAAACAGAGATGCAGCTTCATTGCCTGCTTACTAGTTTACCTTCTAAATCCCCTATTGCATAGGTATTAATTCATTATCACATAATATAAACCTCCAGATAATCCTAGCAACAGTCTTATAGTATCAAAGCCTGCTTTGGATTATCTGTGTCATGGCTCTAACGCACAAGCCTTTGGGGCAGATACTGCACTTTGCTTCTAGTTTATTAGTTTCCAGAGCCAAAAAGTCAGCAAAGAAGCCAATGCATAAATACTGTATGGAGTTAGCAGGCTCTTTGGAAGGTGAACTGAGAGATCAGAGGTAACAGAACCATAGAAGGCCAGGGCAGATGTGAATGCAGGTGATTCTGTTATTCTATGGTGAGGTTTAATAAAATTTGAAAACTGGAAGAAGACTTTCTGGGCGTAGAATACTTGGTCTCAGTTCTCTCTGAAACCTAATTCTGTAATATCAGTTCTAAAGAAATAAAATGGTGAGGAGGGGTGATGGAAGGTTTGCCTGTTTGTCTAAACCCACTCTCCACGTGATCTCCTAAATGCTATTTCTCTCCCCCAGGAAAACCTGCAGAAGCTGGTACACATCGAGCACAGTGTGAGAGGGCAGAGTGGCCTCCTCCAGCCAGGAAGGGTGAGTACTGCAGGCAGACCTATGCTGATAAGGGCATTGTTTCTGGCCAGCTATATCTCTGACTGTGTGGATGGCTAGATTTCAGGCATCTACAGGTGTTGTTTACTCAGCTACTGTGATAAGAATTGGAGCACTGGTTTGTGTAAAAACCCATCATTCTGGCAGTGCACAAAGAAAGCCTCAGGCTGGGAAAGACAAGCATTGTCTCTGCATTTACACAGAGCAGTCATTTGGTTTTTCTCTCCAGCTGTTCTCAGCCATCCCCAGTGTAGTGTAATTTGATGGAACTGCTCTTTTCCTCCTTATATACTCCTGTCGAAAGGCTACAGCACTAGCAGGAATTGCTTACAGCTTGAAAAGGCTCAGAGTTTTACATGGCTGGGTAAGAACCTTAAATCAGGGGAAATAATTTTTTTTCATATTTTCACTTTCACTATTTTCCTCCTGTCGTGCTTTTAATGGAAGACATCGTTTTTAAGCAACACATCAACTGAAATGTGAGAGAGTGTACAGCTCTGTCTTGCCATCCACATAAAATCCAAATTTCTTCTTCTGGCTTTCAAACCTGTCCAGTTTCCCTAGTTCCAACCTGCCTCTACACTTCAAAAGATTTCTTTCTTGAGATCTGCAACCCTGAATTTCCATTTAGTCCAGCAATATCTTTAGCAAAACTCAAGAAGCAATTTTCTAGCCATGCATACTCATAGCATAAGAATCCTCATCAGCCAAATACTACAGTCAACCCCTGTTTTTCTCTCTAAGAAGGTATTCTCACTTGCCCTTACCAGGTAATGCATTGACAAATTCTGCAAAGCCTAGCATATAGAATTTGTGGGATTGGTCTCTTTGATTATAAATTGTCCTTGAGTGGAGAACTACACCAGATTCTGTTCTTCATCTGAAAAGAATAGATGATTGTTGATCCACTGATGTAGTTCAGTTATGGCAGACTTTCTCAAATGTTACTGCAGTCAAATTCTAGTGTGCTGGTTTAGCTGCCTACATATGCAGTCCTATCTACATACACGCTAACAAGATGGACCGACAAAGTATTGTGCTTGCACAGATTATGTAGGCAGGTATAGTTAGGTGGATGCAAAATGCTGAAACCGGAGATTTCAACTTTTCTCTTTGGTCTATTTTAGACGATTTTAAAGACAAGAATTCTTTTCTAAAGCCCATTATGTGTTAGCTTTGCAATCTGTGACACTCACCTCTGAGCACAGTCCACAGTGCAGAAACAGTGGGCTGATGACAAGTAGTCTTCCAACCCATTTTGTACTGCAAGTCATGAAGGGCAGCAGGGCTAATCCAGGCAAAGATTAAGCCAGATCATAAGGAGTAAGGCTAGAAACAGGTGTGGAGGTTATCTATCTCCTCCTGTGCTGATGAATGCGGTTGGAGTAGCTCTTTCCCCAGGAGAAATATTCTCTTTTGTCAATAAGATTTAGAATGAGGAGTCTCAGGATTACAATCTGTCATTTTCTCCTTCAGATATTTGTTAAAGAGGGAACGCTGATGAAGGTCTCTGGCAAAAACAGGCACCCTCGGCATTTGTTCTTGGTAAGATTTATATTTTTACTGTCTCATATCTTCCCATACACTTATGCAGCCCTGAACCCTGGCAGAAACTTCCAGGCTTCAAGTCATGTAACCATCAGCAGTGATGTGGTGAGTCAGCTCCTGTGGCTAAGAGGGCCTATAGCCCTTTCACGCGTGTCCCATTGGCCCTGCATACAGGAATATGGGCTGTACAACCCTCCAGTTGTGCCACACTTACATACTGCCTTCACCAGGCCATAATGCTGCAAAGGAGTGCAAGTTTCCAAGGGGATCTTGAGGATGGGAGCTCGTGAATACCTTCAGGAATTTAACTTCACACTTAAAAGTCCTAAGACCTTAGGAGATTTGCACAGAAGCAAGAGGGAGTACCCTACTGCTAAAGTACTGAAAGCTTTCTTTGGTCACACTTGGGAGAGATTTGTATGTTTGATGCTGAAGGACTGGGTTTTAGTTCCTGCTGTCCACATCTATGTAAATTACCTGATAACTATGTGCATTGTTTCAGTATAGTTCCTCTAAACACACAGCTCTAGCTTCCTGTTGATTAGAGCAATAATTTTCAATGAAAGTTTGCAAAATTCTAGAATATTTAAGGAAAATTAATCTTTCAGCACTTGGCTGGAATACTCTTAACAAGAGTCTACAACCTTACTGCAAAAATTGCAAGTATTTGCAAATCAAAACGATGAAACCCTACTGTTTGGGCAATATACTATGAACATTCATACTTTCTGTTTTGCTTTACGTGCTCCACTGAGCAGTTAGAGAGTATCTGAGACTCCAGGCTCCTGAGCTTTGTTCTCAACTTTTCAGATAGCGTATTGTGTAGCCACAGAGATTATTATGCACTAATCAATGTGAAGGGAAAAATAATACTTGCCTATGTCTTAGGAGTTTGTTACCTGCGTACCTGAAAATGTTTGAAAAATTCTTCAGAGCTCCTTCCTAGAAAAAAAGCCATAAAGAACTGAGCATTACTGCTGCTATTAACATTAAAGTACTGTTTGCAGAATTTATTTTAAAATAAATTACTTTTCTGCCCGGAATAGATATTTGTTGTGACCTCTTTACATGCTGACACCTTTTCACCATGGGATCATTGGAAGGAGGAGAGATGGCTTATTACAGAAGTCATACATTTTGCATTATTCCTTCTTATTTCTCCCTCTTATTAATAATTCCTATTTGTGCATGAGTGGATGCACAAGCTTCTTTGCCTCCTCAATCACATATTGCAGTCATAATCAAAGATCAGATGGAATGGGATACAGTGGTGGCACTGCATTTTTCTGATAGTTTCATCGGTTTCTGTGAAAATTCAGATTTTCATGTACTGAAAGTCATAGATTTCACCCAGATCTTCAAATATGAGATTACTGCAGTGCTGTTACTGAGTCAACATCAACTGAGTCACGAAAACTGGCTTCTGGAGCTGGTAGACAGAGACAGGAAGCCGAACAGCCCCCCTGTAATCCAGGAGGAAACAGTTAGCAATCTGCTGAGCAACTTGGATCCTCACAAGCCTATGGGACCCAATGGGGTCCACCCAAGGGCAACGAGAGAACTGGCAGAAGAGTTCACCAAGCCGCTCTCCATCATTTACCAACAGTCCTGGCTCACTGAGGAGGTCCCAGATGACTGGAAGTTGATGAATGTCACGCTGATCCACAAAAAGGGCTGCAAGGAGGACCTGGGAAACTCCAGGTCTGTCAACTTGACTTCAGTGCCTGGCAAGGTTACAGAGCAGATCATCCTGAGTGCAATCACACAGCAGCTACAGGATGGACAAGGGATCAGAGCCAGCCAGCAAAGGTTTAGAAAGGGCAGGTCACGTCTGACCAACCTGATCTCCTTTTATGATCAGGTGACCTGCCTGGTGGATGAGGGGCAGGCTGTGGATGTGGTTTCCCTGGAATTCAGCAAAGCCTTTGACACCGTCTCCTACAGCACACTCCTGGAAAACTGGCAGCCCAGGGCTTGGACAGGGCACTCTGTACTGGGTTAGGAACTGGCTGGAGGGCCCAGAGAGGGGTGGTGAACGGGGCTGCATCCAGATGGGATCTCGTCACCAGTGGTGTCCCCAGAGATCAGTGTTGGGCCCCGTCCTGTTTAATATCTTTGCTGATGATCTGGATGAGGGGATTGAGTCCACCATTACCAAATTTGCAGATGACACCAAGTTGGGGGGAGTGTCGACCTGCTGGAAGGCAGGAGGGCTCTGCAGAGGGACCTGGACAGACTGGATCCATGGTCTGATTCCAACAGGATGAGGTTCAACAAGGCCAAGTGCCGGGTCCTGCACTTTGGCCACAACAACCCCCTGCAGCAGGGGACAGAGTGGCTGGAGAGCAGCCAGGCAGGAAGGGAGCTGGGAGAAGGGAGAGAACATGAGCCAGAGTGTGCCCAGGTGGCCAAGAAGGCCAATGGC